CGTTTAGCGCTTTTTGTATTGTATTTTATTTTGTTATACGCCTCTGTTTCGTGCTAAAGGGACAATACGGGATGTAGTAAGGCTGTACGGCGATTTGAAAACTTGATACTTGTTTGTTCATTCTTTCTGAGTTATATAGTATATTCAGTAAAGTATCAGTAGACTTGGGTTTCTTTAGAAATTATGATCTTACCCACAAATACAATAATAAAATAAAATATAATAATAAAATATAAAAAAATATACTTATATTTCAATAGAAATTCTATTATCGGACGAAGTGTGTTTCAATTGGTTTTCCAATTGGAAGATTTTCCTTATTAAAGGTATTTGTGTTGAGTAATTAACTGTCAAATTTGTCTTGCAGGAAGTAGATGTTTTGTGTAATAATCAATTTATCTTAAAAAGGGCCAAAAATAACATAAATCAACTTATATCATTCTTAAAAAATACACAAGCACAGATATAATACACATAATAATTTCCCAAATTTTCATATTGAACAATAAAAATGACGTGAAATAAGTTGTCCATGGGAAATCCCAACGCGAACATGGTCACATATAGAAATATGTAACCCGTTGTGACCATGCGACCATGCGTTGGGATTTCCCATGGTTGTTTGGATAGTTTATACATTATATAATAACGTTAAGAATAACGTAATTGTTCAATATATAAACTATCGATTGAATTTAGTTCCATATCCCAACTCATAAAAGTCTGACCTCTATATGGTTTGTCTGTCTATTGTATGACCTTTACGACTCTTTTTACAGAAACGCGAGAAGGTAAAAGGTAACATTAATATTACCAAGTGTTTAACAATAATTTCAAAGCCTCTGTCTTTTAAAAGTGTTTATAATTGTAGTGTTTTGGAATTATTATTCTTAAATAAAAAAACAAAAATTCCATAGCGATTACTTTATTAATGAGGTTATTAATTGTTCTGAAGCTTGATTTGGTACAAAATTATTCAGTTATTTATCAAAAAAGTGGAAGTGGCTGCTTAGTAGAATAAAACTGGTAGAATACATGTATGCATAGATGAATATTCCAAAATAATCATTTTTATGATTAAAATTACAGTATTTAATAGAGATGAGCAAATATTTATAAACGGTTATATAGTTCGAGTCTGCTAATATCAAAATAGTTAAAAAGAAGTCAATGGAAATATTTTTTCCCACGCACCAAGTATCAATACCATATTTCCTCACAAACTGTTACAGTAAATAGAATACACGTTGGATTCCCTGTTCCGTCTTTGCGATTTGCATGTCCCTTGCGTGTGTGCGTGTGCCTTGTGTCTGTGCGTGTGTGTGCCGATTGACATAAAGAAGCTAAATGCCGTGGGGTGTGAATGTTACAAGCGTTTAACGTATGTATTGCCACGTACATCTATTGGCAAAAATTCCAATAAAAGTGCCCCGGACTCTAACGGAAATTCCGTTCAAGAATAATGTTTAATTTGCACGAAGGACCGGGTGATTTATTTAAGTGATTTTGTTTTGATGACGATAATGTGATTTTTGGACAAAGAGAGTTTTGCTAGTTTTTGCCATAGATTCCTGTTCGTCGGTCGTATATCTACGTATATGTCATTTGTTTTTAACTTTACTGATTTGTCTGAAAATATTCTTCATTAAACAGCTAGCTAAACTACTGATTGTCACTTCTCGTGATCAGAAGGCTGGTCTTTTTCTAGCACAGAGAATTAGCATTGCCATTCAAGTAGGCGATGATGCGGAGGAATTTTTTGATGCTTGAATGTAGATAGTGTAAATGTTGTAAGTATTCTAACTTAATTTTAATTAATTTTTTATTCTTAATTTCATTTTTATTTTTGTAGTAGATACTAGATGTAATTGAATTATCAGAAATTATTAATTCTTCATTATATACTTGTTTTTCAACTTTCACGTTTAATAATATATAACTGTGTATACAGGAAATAGTAGGTATTACATGGCTTTGAATTTCCCGCCGTTTAGATCAGGTTGCACTCCCCGTAGTTACGGGCTATTCTACCTGTTGATCCCGTTAAGTCTCGTAAGTATATAAAATTTTAACTTAAACATTACATTGGGTATTCTGTATCGGCTAAACTGGGACTTACGAGTCCTGACAAAATGGAAAAGAAGCATAATGATTATAAAGCAATCGTATAGTTTCCCTAATTCAAATCAAATGAATAAAGAGTAGCTCTATATTCGTCACTAATTAGTAATCAAAAACAAGTAATAATCTCAGTAGAATATACCAAGAATCTGAGAATATCAACAATCTTTGTAGAATATTGTGTCAATGAGTGTAATTTTTTATTCGAGTTTGACTGCACGGAAGGCGTAGTGTTTTAAGCGGTCGCCACGCCGTCTTACTACTACGCTGAGTGCTGTGGGTCACATCCCCGCATGATTCTCAAATTATTGTTCTGAGTCTGGGTGTTCTTTGTGTCCGTTTCATGTATTTATTTCTAGTGTTGTCTGTAGGAGTTGTCTTTTTTTGAAAGAAAAAAAAGAAAGAGTTTAAAAAAAACGTTAATTAATCCTACACCTGATTACAAACAATATTGGATAGTTAGCATCTAGTCATCCAAAATACAGTGTTACAGAAAATCGTATTTATATTTTATGGTCGTATAGCAGACCTAGTGGATAACGAAAACAAAGCTGAAAAGAAAAGAGACATACAGTCACGGCGAACACCTTTTTTCCTGGAGAAGTAGACAAAGTCATAGTCGGTAAAATTTGGTCAAATAATAAGCTGAAACGACTAAATTTTTACCTACTATAACTTGAGATCATAATATAATTACATATAGATATAAATATAATTACATAATTCTGTAATAGATGATAAGACTATTCCCGTTAACCGGACACCTATTTAAGTAAACATACTTATATATTGCTAAATACAACATATTATGGAATAATTATACATATACATGGAAATTGGATGAATGTATTTCAAAATCAATTTATTTTACTTTTTTTTCGCCAATTACAACGTCATTTGGCAACACTTTTCTGTAATATTTTATACAATTGAGATCCATATCGACCCGCTTGCGTGTAAGTAGTTCCTGATGTAAGTATAAAATTTATGCAATATTCCCGCTGTATTAGTAAAGGTGTTATTCAGTTCACAATCTTCTAATCTCACGAACTCAATCGTGCATTTCTCTAAATAGACTTAACCAATGGCTGACAGTCAACTTCTGGTATTTTGCCCTTGATACTTGGGTTATAAAACAATGATTGCTATTGGTGGATTCTCTCGTGAGTTTTTCTGTTCATAAAAACTGATCGTAAAAGTAGTTATTAACTTAAGACCGGTTTTAAATCTCGGGCGCAAGTTGGATATTAGTCAATAAGTACGAGTATATCTGTTTACCGGTAGGACAAATATCTTTTTAATACAATGTTATTAAAACTGTTTATATAACCATAAAAGGACCTGTATGAAAATAATATTCATGGAAGTCAGTTAAATACTGAGAGAATATCGTGTTGATATTATTCGATTCGAGTCGACATTATCGTCATAATTTTGAAAAAACCATCGAAATACTCGAATAAAATATAATAATAAAAATAATACATCTCACCTCACACATCTCACACACGGCCGTCTGATCCCAAATTGGGCAGAGCCTGTACTATGGTAAACAGACTGCTGATAAACATACTTATAAGTTTTTTAATTCATACATATTACAGATAAATTACACACAGACACAGAACAAATGACCGCACTCATTACACAATATTTTTCCTGGGTGGGAATTGAACCTACGACCTATGGCTTAGCAGTCAGAGCCACTAACCACGAGACCAACAGGCGCGTCAAACAATTTATAGAAATTTCAATATATTTTTTTGTCTCTGTATAGTTTATTTTTATTTTTAATAGTGTTTATTATGATCTTCGCTATCCTAGTCCTTTAAAAACAGTTAAATATAAGTCATCACCTAGAAATTCAATAATTAGACTTACATGGGATCCGGTTAAAAATTGGGATGAAAAGGTGAGTGGGTAAATTGTTACTAAAATAAGCTGTTTTTTTCAAAGTATCTGGAAAGATATTGACACCTTGAGACAATTCACTCACTACAGCATAATCCAAAATTAGACAGAGCCTGTACTTGGAGAACCAGACTACTGATAAACATTCTTACATATTTCTAAATTCATACATATTATAGTTCAATCACACCTAGGCACAGTACAACAGGACGGGCTCATCACACAATATTTGTCCTGGGTGAGAATCAAACCCACGACTGTAGCTCAGTAGTTAGCATCAATACCACTAGACTAACACTTCCTGGCCAGTCATAATTTATTTTTTAATTCATCATCCAAGCGTCAGATTTTTATAAGGAACTAGCTTTTTCGCCTGTACCTGCTTGTATGTTGGTTTTTGCGGTAAAAGTAGCCTACGTCATTTCTTAAGGATCAAACTATCTTCACAATAAATTTTATTTAATTCGGTTCAGCGGTTTATACCCTATACAAACTTCACCCCCTTAAAGGATGATTTCTCTTATAAAAATCCTATCCTATGTCCTTTCCCGGGACTCAAACTATCTCTATACTAAATATCATCTAAATCGGTTCAGCGATTTAAGCGTGAAGAGGTAGCAGACTGACAGATAGACAGACACTCAGACACACTTTCACATTTATAAGATTATATAGTAAATATAATATAGTATAGAGTATGGATAGAATACTCGTAGATAGTGTTTGATTTTCCTTCGTCATGACCTTTGGATGCCGTGATATTTGAATACCATTTTTCCTTGTCATTACTCAAACAGGCTAGATACAACAAACTGGTTAAACGACGTGTCGTTTTTTTAAACGTTTAAAAACATACCGATGCTAACTTTATTTGTGAAGCCATTTCATTCAAATACACTGACAGTAGGACGCGTGTAGATAAATGTTTCATGATGATGAAGATTCTTTGTTTTATTGTCTTAGTTACGATGTGTCATGGTATGACAATAAATAAATCAAGTACTCTAAGTAGTCCTAAAAGACTATTTATAGAAATAAACGATGAACCTCCATCTTTTGATGTGTTTTGGCCGAAAGTGGAAAATGCTGATTTTGAAGATCCTGTCATAGGTTATAAGGTAAGTGGTTTGTGTTTTAAATTTAGATTTTTGAAATACAAAACTTCAAAATTAAATCACATTCTACCTGTGACACATCAATCATCACATCAACAGCCTTTATTAGTCCACTGCTGGACATGGGCCTCTCCTAAGAAAGGAGGTTTTGGCCTACTATCCTCTGTACCTGTGTACTACAGTCAAATTCGTATTACTTTATTTATATGGTAAGTATTAATTTTGCCTACATCTGCATGCTACTTCCTCAAGAATGCAACTATCTCCATACTCAATGTTTTCTAAATTGATTCATCGGTTAAAACTTTCACCCACTTTTTCACTACCTTAAAGGATGATTTGTTTGATAAAAACTATCCAATGTAAAATTTAATCTCAATCTGTTTAGTGGTTTAAGCGTGAAGAAGTAATAGACAGACAGACACACTTTCCCGTTTATAATATGGATGGAGGGCAAACGAGCACACGGATTACCTGATGTTACACTTAACAAAAGGCCCCTGTGTGCTTGAGTTACGTAAGTCACTACTTACGCCACTTATGACCATCTGCTACTAAAGAGTCATAAGTACGTTGCCGGTTATCGGCCTTTATATGCCAGGGCTAAAATTTTCGGCCTTTGGTAACCTCACTCACTTCACACACATCAACAGCCTTTAATAGTCTACTGAAGGACAAAGGCATCTTCTTAAAAATGAGGTTATGGCCTACTACACCATACTGGCCAGACGGGTTGGTATAAGGTTTGTGTCAAGTTTTCCTTCTCTTTGCAGTGCTGTTGACCTGCGCAGTTTGATCCCTTAGTCAGCTCTTACGACACCCAAGGAATGAATAGGGGTGATGGCACTACGTATTCTTAATCCGCCACCACACGGAACCTCACTTACTCAGTAAAAACGAATAATAGCCATAGTATCAATCTCAGTGATATCCCAAAATTGCAGTGGCTCTCCCAAAATTAAATTTGACTCAACATGAATTTCATGAATTTAGGTTTTCGGTTGCGGAAACAATATTTACAAACCATGACAAAAACTAACGATAATTACAATTTCAGGTAAAAGTGATAGAAGTGAAGAAAGTGAAAAGAATCATAAACAAATTTAATAGTAATAACAATACAATAACACCAATTGAAGTAGAAGAATATCCGGTACGAAAATATATATTTTTTATTTGTTTATTATCCACACTTACTACTATCATAACAGGTATATCCTAATGCAACAGTGTAACTTATTATAAAAATACACCGTTTCACATACGTGTTACTTACTAAGTAGTTGCTTATAATATAAAACATGTTATATTGTCCTCGTGAACTCAATCAACATACAGCTTAATAAGTAAATGTCAGTAGCTGCAGTTCGTGTGTTATATATGTTTACAAAGCTTACTTTTTCTAAATCTCCGGTTATAACTATAGGGCGTGGTTAGTCTTCGTACACTAGCTGGTACAATGTCTATAGCTACGATTAGCAGGAAACGCAACGCACGTTTAGAGTCACTAGACTTTTCAAATTAATGCGTCTGCGCGGCACCGCCAGTAGCGGTTTAGCCGCTACACATACCTGTCCGGTACACACAAGCCTGGTAATCCTATTATCCTATTACTATGGTGGATTTTATATTACCTAGATATTTAGTAGGCAAGACTAAGGTCCCGTCTGGCTCTGAGCTCGTTAAATCCGACCACGTCTAAGACGAACAAAGTCGGATTTGGAATGGGTAAAATAGAAAGGTATTAAAATAGTTCGAATTATTAATACCGGATATATCATACCATACTCTCAATTTTGTATTTGATTGACGGCAATTATCCTCTACATAAGTAGAACTAAACGTTTGCTCTGCTTATTCTTTTATGTATATAGACATGACTATTATATATTTCTAGAAAATCGTGTTTAAATTGCAGTTAATTTATAGCTTTTCTAAATTACAATTTGAGGAAAATATTGGTTTTACAATGCTCTCTTTGTCGTATGTCTGAACTCCAGATTGACTTTATCATCATCATCATCAGCTTATCGCAGTCCACTTCTGGACATAGAAGTCCAAAATCGATCTAAGTGGCGTGCAATGGGAAAGCCCATTGCACGCCACTTAGATCGATTTTTGGCTTCTCGCATCCAGCTCCTGCCAGCCATCTTGATTGACTTTATGGCCAAGGATATTAGTCGGTTAGAAACTGACTAAAGCACTTCAAGTTTCCAATCATTTACCTGTCGAAAATGGAGTTTAGAGTCACTTTAACTGAAATATACTTTCCTTCGATTTTGTCTTTATTATTTATTTTCAATTTTCAGAAACTTAACGTTCAAAAAGCACCAGATGGACTACTGACAGAACTGACAGCACCAGCAAGTGATAAACCACAAGTAAGGTTTGAAAACCTGAAACTTGGAGTACTTTACGAAATCACAGTTATCGCATTTACCAAAAAGCTCGAAGGACCACCGTCTTCACCTATCAGGCTTCGAGTACACGACTCTTAGTATTATGTTAATTCCACTTACAGTAAGGTTCATACAAGGAGTACAGGAAGTTATAATTAAATATCTATTGTTAAAACTGTCATTTTTAATAAAATACACGTTCGAGGCGGACATTAATCTTTCGGGTCTATTAATATTTTCACGTTTTATTTTATTTTATTTGAGCTACCATCAAATATATACATAATAATATCTCACAAAATAAAGGAATTAATATTAGCCATGTACTCCCTTAATTACAGGACACTTCAGCATACCAATTAAAGTAGTAACAAGCACTTAAATACGGCGCACAGACATAGGAATGAATTACAAATCTTACACAATTAAAAAAAAGTAAATTATATAAAACTAAACATGAAATAGTAATATTAACCAGACAAATGGGGATCAGGAATCAACAGCTATACAATATTTATCTTGAGATTTATGAGATAAAGTGAAATCTATTTTCATTGTATTGTAATGTCACAGAGTAAAAAAAGTGTATAATTATTCATCATTTATTTCACTGATCCAGTTGGGGCCGTGTAATGTGCTGGATGGACCCGTTATGGATGATGGTGGCAACATTACCTTTTTCGTGTAAGGGGTTATAGTTAACTGGTAAGGTATTTTAAATTTCACCATTATAATTGTAGTGGTAAGGTTTGCTGGTTTCTGGAATTAAAATATGATTATGAAATAAACGATAATAATTTTATTATTTTATACTAATAAATGTTTCAAAAATAGATAAATATATTTAGTCTTATAAATATTATGTAGCACTGCAAAGACAAGGAAAACTTGACACAAACCCTATACCAACCCGTCTAAGGAGAGGCCTATGTCATGCAGTGGACTATTAAAGGCTGTTGATGTGATGATGTGATGTGATGACATTTGTTACTAACGCAATATGACTTGTTGCTATTTAGTAGTACCCTGAAATGTAGAATTAACATTCTTATAACAGTTTATTAGTTACACGGTTTAAACATCAGTTTACTGTCTACAGAATCAAGAGATGTTCTGCTATATAAAAAGACTAGCTGACCCGCGCAACTTCGTCTGCGTCTCTCAATAGTAATAAATTTTCTCCGTTTTTGAAACATTCTTCATTGGTGCTTCGCTCCTATTGGTCTTAGCGTGATGATATATAGCCTATAGCCTTCCTCGATAAATGGGCTATCTAACACTGAAAGAATTTTTCAAATCGGACCAGTAGTTCCTGAGATTAGCGCGTTCAAACAAACAAACAAACAAACTCTTCAGCTTTATAATATTAGTATAGATACCAGTAAGTACTGAATGAGGCAAAGCGTTAACTCAAACTTTTACTCAGTCGTAGGACTAGTTACTTATATATTATCCTGTTTTTACAACCATTATCGTATTCAAAGTGTTAACTATGTGCATATAACAATGTTTACATTATTATCGGGTTTATGATGTTTCATTCAGAAATTGGAATAGGCGTTTATCTTTTAACTCACTTGATAGACAGTGATGATAAGGACCTATCCAAGAGTAACTTATACACATTATAAACGATTCTGGGTTATAATTGTATTGGAAAATAGATGCATGTGAGTTCTTTAAGACCTTAGCGATTCGATTGAAAAAAGACGTGTCAAAGCATTCGATTTGAAATCTTTGTCTTCCGACAACGAAATTCGACACTGGTCTGGCAAGAGATTAATGAGTTTGAATAAAATAGGATAAAAAAACAGTCACTGTCTACTGTTAAAGGTCATCCTACATTCTTCCAAGTTTAATTGGGATCAACACAATTCCAAGGGGTTTTAAAATCTATACAAATAAATAAAATTTAAGGGTCTGTTTGTAATGTCAAAATAATAGATTTTTTTATGCTCACACGGGTATTTGCGCGATATCTATACCTAAAACCCGTTTAAATATTTTTTGTCTATCTGTCTTTCTGTCTGTTTGTTGCGGGTAATTTTCAAAATGGCTGGACCGATTTTGATAATATTTTACTACCAAGTAGCTGTCTACATAAGAAGTAACTTAAGCTATTTCTTCTCTCAGAAAAACCCTATAAAATTTTGCCTGGTCCGGGAATCGAACTCACTAAGGCAGAGCTTTTCAAATTCCACGCGAACGAAGTCGCAGTCACCAGCTAGTAACCAAATAAAAAGTATCAATTTTTTCATTAAGTTTTAATTCTCCGAAGAAACACTAATACAATAACGCTGCAAGGGATTGTTAACCTAAACCCAGGACACGAAGTTGTCTTTACAACATTATATTTTTTGTCCATTTGCGTGTCAACTATAACTTTATCTGTTAATTCAATGAATAAAACATCTGCCAGTAGTTTTAATCCAACGTTAGCGTACAAGACACGTGTCATAAAATTAAATCCACGTCCAACTATTGCGATTTTGTTGACGAAGGTTTGATATTACCAAAAAAACATTAGATTGATGTTATCTTTTTGTATCTTAGTGAAGTACGGTTAAAAATTTGTATGAAAATGAATATGTGAAATGTTAGAACACTTTTCAGAGATACAAGAGTCAATTTTAACAAATGTTTATAGACGAATCGATGTGGGTAAGCCCCGAAAGACGTATACTGACGCGAGAGCGAGAGACTACTGATGAATGTAGAAGAGGCGCAAAATGTACCTTATTAAGAAACTTGGCAAATGACGTACTGGTATCTCTGCCTACTCACAATAGGAAAGAAGAAAGAAAGAAAGAAAGAAACATTTATTTGCAGAGAATACAGGTGGTACCAGATTTTACAAAGGTGTATAATGTTCAAGCTATATTCTGCCTGTACTAGGCATGCAAATTTTTTATAGAGACTCAAAACATTCACTAATGATAACTATTAACTAATAAAATTAACAAAATGTCAAAAAAATAAAATATAAATATTACATAGAAATTATTAAATTTAGAAATTATTAAATTTATTGAATTATTATATCTAATTTATTAAATCTACAAATGATCATTTACATCAGTTTTGTATTGCATGAACTCTTTCATTGTATAGAAGCACTTATCAACTAGCCATTTTCTTAACTTAATTTTAAAATATTTAAATGGGAGTTCCCTAAGGCTCTTAGGAAGTTTATTAAAAACTGAAATGCACATGTAATACACATTCTTTTTCATCAAAGATGTTCTACAAAATGGAATCATTATTTTCGTAGGATCTCTTGGTCTGTATTTAGTAACATGATCCCCCTTGAATTTAAAGAAATTATTATATTTCCTAACAAAGATTGATACTTCAAGAACATACATGCAGGTCAATGTCAGCAAATTATGTTTTTTATACAACGGTTTACAAGAGTCAAGAGGACTCACTCCACAAACAGCTCTTAGACATTTCTTTTGGGCAATAAAGGCTTGATCAACATCAGTCGAATTCCCCCATATTATTAACCCATATCTAAGGATTGAATCTACGTAACCGATTGAATCTACGGATTGAATCTACGTAGGAAAAAGGAGTTAGTTTTTTTTCTTGTATTTCTTTACCGTACAGGGAGCAAATGAGCACACGGGTCACTTGATGGTAAGTGATTTTCACCGCCCTTGGACACCTATAACTCAATTTTCTATAAAGTCGCTTCCAATAATTGGAGGAGGAGGGTTCTTTACTCCGGTAGCCTCACTCACTCAGTGAAAAGCAACAAAAAGTTGCTTATCACCAGTTTATTATAAGGCGCTGGAATCACTACCGTCGAACAGGTCCATTTATGCCGAAGCTTGGCTCTTCCACGTGAAATATGTATAGCCCGTGCATGTGTGTGCGTATGTGAAAAGAAAAAGAAAAGAAACAATTTATTCGTGAACTTTCTTACGTTCACGAATAAATTGTTTCTTTTCTTTGTATATAGTGTATGTTCTTACATACACTCACAATATAAGGGAAACTTAATACTAGGATTAAGCGAAAATAAAATTTTACGTGTAGGTACCTCACGTGCCAGTCGAATAGGACCTGGTCCAGCGTCTGCTTGACAGATGTCAAGCGCTGGTTTTCAACCAGAACTTTTAGTGAGTGACGGACATAAATCGGCCTATGGGACTGTATTAAGAAAATTAATATGACGTAATATCACCCAAGATAGTAATATTATTATTATTAGGTAGCTGATTTTTACAAGAAGGGCATCAATAAACTGCCAATGCGTTGGCTAAGATGCGTCGATTGCATGGGTGATTACTTCGAATAACAGAAATAAAAAAGTTTGAAAAAATAAGTACTTTCACTTATTGCATACAAAACGGCAATTTCATAGGTAAAGAGCTATTATTATTTTACAATGAACTATGGTTCAGTATATTTAATAGAGAAAATACTACGTCTGTTACGCCTAGCTACAGTTTTCTAAACATTTGAAACAAGTGTTCATTCTGATTACACCTCAGCTCCCGCGGGTTCTACACATTTACATATAAATTGCAGTTAGCTCACACACTCTCTATACTTTTAAATGGTCTCCATCCCCGTGTTCTGCAGCAATAAAATGTATTTTATGTTGTGTTTGTGTGTTAGTCATTTAAACTTAAGTTTAAGAAACCATAGACGCTGTAAACCACATATTTAAGTTTAGAGTAGTTTAACATTTGAGTTTTTTCGAAATTGCAACTTTTCATTGTACACTAAAAATGTATTTGTAACTATAGACAAAGGGTTTAAAGAGTAGATTTAAACCAAAGTAACACTTTCTATAGGTCAATTGGATGTTGTGGAGGAACGGGTTTTTATATCGCGATACAGGATTATCTATTCTCATTCAGGAGCTACTCCATAGTTAGGTGTGTCTTCGTTAGATGGCGCTGTAGTATGTTTCTATTTCTTTGTATGTGGGAGTCGCCACAATGTGGACAGCACAAGTCGCCTTTATCATAATGATAAACTAACTAAAAGAATACAAGATACAAGACGTATAGCAATTAATACGATTACGTAATACATATTAGACAAGTTTATACTGCCTACCGTATCGACCAGGTTGCACTGGCTTT